CACTTGTTTTAAAGGACAGTGTGGTAAAGGTTACCAGTGGCAGAATAACTGGAATCTATGTCAGAAATCTTTGACAGCAACAAGGTCAGCAATGAAGATTAAAAGTCATGCAAAGCTAGTACAGATCTTGTATTCTGGAAACTCAGTTTTCCTAATAATTGAAGGAAATGGCCAGGAAGCTGTTCTCTTAAAGAGGCTGAAAGAGCTCATAATCACTAAGTCTCCTAATCACTAATTACTGTGGAATACTAGGCACCCTGATATCTCTTAGAAAAGAGGAAAATAGGTTTCCAAGTTTCCAAACCAAAGAAGGATACAAAACACTTTAAAGTAAAAAACGCGAATTACGTGTAGTGTAATAAAATTCCAGCCACATTAAGAGCCCAAAATGGAGAAATAGCAAAGGGAAGGATAATAATTTGTATTAAATCTAGGAAAGCAGAAGTCTGCTCTGTGTTTGGCTGTGTGAGTGAGGTTTTAGCTGCCATGGGAACCTGCTGTACTGCACAGGGTGGGAGGGAATAAGAAGGGAAAAGGAAGAAGAATTTTTAAAATTAATACTTTTTCTGTTTGTATAATCAAAGCCTACAGGGTAGCGGAAGACAGAATTTACAACCTCTCTCAGCTCAACAAACTACAGAGGGAGCTAGTCACGTTTACCCAAACTTAAAAAAAAAAGTTTCAGCAGCTATGACCTTGTGACAGGAAAAAATTCAGGGTGGGAATGAAGTCTTCAAATTTTTTCTTTCCTTTCCTTATGGCAAGGGACTTGACTGACTCTTCCACACAATTCCATCCTTCCCCTTAATGGATCTTTCCCCTGTTGTTTTTGTTGGGTTTTTTCCCATGTTGATAGGGACATTGCCCTGTGGATTTTGGGACCAGGGACTGGATAAGAAGTCTTTGTGAATCTCCCGTTCACCCTCCAGCCCGTCTTCTCTCACGCATTCCCCATTTTCTTTTTTTTTCTTTTCCTCCCCCAAGTCCATTCCCCCTTGAATTCTTCTGTTTCCTGGAATTAAGCAATTAATAAGATCAGAGATTTGGGTTTTTTTTTTCCTCTCCACAAAGCTTTGTCACGTGCCTCATCAAACTTACAGCAACTTGCAAAGAAAAATACCCCCTGGGAGCTATGTAGATGCTCTTCATGATTCCCATCGAGGGCACCCAGCCTCTCTGCTTTCTTGGTGTGCCCAGTGTCCTGGAATTGATAGGAGGGGACAGAGGAAGAAAAACCTGAGGAGGTGGGGGAGGAGGATGGGGGGCAGACAAACAGCAAACGCTCAGACAAAACAAGAGACAAAACAAGTTCCTCTACCCGTATTCTCTTCCTTTGTCTACCTCCAGTATAAGATGGACATCCACAGACAGGGTCATTTCTAAGAGGAGGTTTTCCCCTCCAGTTTTTCCCCCCTTCTAAGCTGGGACCAGTGCCTGCGTGTGCAAGTGTGGGTTTCAATAAGCAGTAGAGGAAGCTTACCTATGAAAACTGGTAGGCACCATCTCTGGGGATTCCTGCTTCCAGGTAAGATTTGGCTTTTCTTTTTCTCTTTGTTGCTTCACTTTTCTTAGAGGATGTCTTTTAGCTGGGCTCATGGGTGAACAGCCTTCTGTGTCCACCCAGTGCAGCTCCTGTGCCTGTGGGCTGCCACACAGCCAAGGCTAAGGAGGCTTACTGCAGGGTGGAGGAGTTTCCAGAGGGGGGAAGGATGTTTTCTCATTGCCTGCACTTTGGATGAGTGAAGGGGCACTTCTGGAGGTGTCTTAGCCTGCTGAATGCATGCTCAGGGGCAGGTCTGTGCCTGGAACTGACCACCAGGCACAGGTCCACATGCCAGCCCTGGGGACGGTGAGTGCTATTGCCACCCAGGCTGTGTCACAGGTGAGCCACCGGGCGTGCTCTTGGTGGGATGGACAGCAGGGCCACCAGAGAGGGCTGCCACAGCCCAGGCAGCTGGAGGCAGGGGTGGGAGGAGGGGTCTGAGCCTCAGCTGTGGGCTCAGAAGACAGTCGGGGACAAGGTGTGAGCATGGCCAGCAGCAGCTGTCCTTCAGGCAGGCTGTCACCCACCTGGGCTTGCCCAGTTGTTACAGCTGTGGTGCAGCACAGCTGGAGAGCTGCAGTGGATGGTCATAAACTCGTCAGAAGGTACAGGCACAGAGGGAGAGGCAGTGGGGTGGCCCTGTACATAAGGGAGGGTTTTGATTTTCCAGAGCTTAATGACAGCAACAACAGGGACAGCTGCTTGTGGGAAGGAGTCAGTGGAAAGGCCAGCAAGGCAGATGTCATGGTGGGAGTCCGCTAGAAATGCAGCACACAGAGAGGAAGTGGGGTCCAGGAGGTTTAATTATGGGGTCTTATTAGGTCTTTATTAGGAGGTTCCTGCTGTGTGGGGAAGAAAATTGCCTGGCACCGCTGGTGACAGAGCTGATAGGTGCAGGTGTCCCCCTGGACCTGTCTGTGAACTGAGAAGGACTGGAAAGTGATGTGGCATTTTCAGGCTGCCTAGGGCACTGTGATCATGAAAAAAAAAGATATTTAATCCTTGGAGAAGTAAGGAGGGGAGCTCAGCAAACTGGAACTTTGGACTTGTGGAGGGAAGACTTTGGCCTGTTCAGGGAAGTGGTGGACAGAGTTCCTTGGGAGGCAGTTCTGGGGGACGAAGGGGTCAAGGAGGGCTGGACACTATTCAAGAAAGAAATCTTAAAGGTGCAGGAGCAGGCCAATGGGGTCATGGTCTGTCAGGGCAATAGTGTGGCCAGCAGGACCAAGCACTGGTGAAGCCACACCTCAAATCCTGTGCTCAGTTCTGGCCCCTCTCTGCAAGGATATTGAGGTGTTGGAATGTGTCTAGAGATGGGCGATGGAGCTGGGGAAAGGTCTGGAGCACAAATCCTGTGAGAAGCACCTGAGGGAGATGGGGGTGTTTCCCATGGAGAAAAAGAAGCTCAGGGGAGACCTTATGGGTCTCTACAACTCCCTGAAAGGAAGCTGTAGTTAGGGAGGGTCAGCCTCTTCTCCTGAGTAACAAGCAGTAGGACAAGAAGGGAGATTCAGATTGCATATAAAAGGGTTGTCAAGCCCTGGAATGGGCTGCCCAGTGAAGTGCTTGAGTCACCATCCTTGGAGGTATTTAAAAAATGGGTGGATGTGTCACTCATGGACAGAGTTAAGTAGTGGACTCTCAGATGTTTAGTGCAGGGTCTACAGATGGACTCAATGATCTTAGGGGTCTTTTCCAACCTACACAATTCCATGATTCTGTGGTTACATTTTTCTGGCATTCCTGACATGTTTGGAAAGGAAATGCTTAGACATTCTTTGTCCTCATTTTCTATCTCACCAGAAAAATATCTCAGGTATGGTACTGATGCTCTGAGATACGTGGCTGCAGGTGGCTCTGAGAACTACCAACCTTCTTAAAGCCATGCCTCAAGAGCAGCTGGGGATATATAAAAACCTGAGAGCCTGCACGGATATCAGGCCTTCCTTGCACTCTTACAATTTGACAGCCAGGCAATAAATGTTAATAATTTTTGTACTGTCATAACATGAGCATGAGTGTTGTGGAAGCTCTGCTGTCCATTTGAGATTTGTTTCAGCTCAGTGGAACAGGGGCTTGCATGCTGCTGTCAAGCATCAGTTTATCACATTCCACCCCACACCACCACCAAAGTTTTTTGTGTTCTGACCAATCCTGCATGTGTGGTGCAATGGAGGATACCCTCTGCACCTTCTCTTGCTGGAAGTTGCTTTCCTCAGAGATAAGGACAATTCATTTAGCTGTGGTGCATATGTTTTCCAGGTTTTGGAGTTTTTTCATTCCAAAATTGCTGTAAATATGCAGAGCCTTTCAAACCTTACAGTAGAGGCTATGTGATGGCAGCATACCTCATGTGATTGTCATAAAAGGATTTATCTTCATGCAAGTGCTGTGAAGCTGGTTTTCCCCATTGCACAGGTTCAAAAGTGGAGTTCAGGTTCAAAGGTGTGACTTTTTGTTCAGCAAGCACAAAAAAATTTCTTTTTTATTGCAAAAAAAATCTCTATACTCCTTAGTGTTGATAAAGAAATATACTAGAGTTCCTGTCAGGACAGTGTGCAATGCAGATATTTCTCTTATATGTAGTCATAGCTCTTATTTTAAATGATGGAGAGATCTTGGTGAAAATTTTGGTGCCACAAGTCATTTTGTCTTGTTCATATAAGAACAAAGCCTATGAGCAAATCTTAACATCTACTTTTGTTATTTTCACTTGTATTTCTGGTAAAACAGGTGCCTGTTTAAGAAGCCAAGAAAACACATGTATCCAGAGGTATAGACATATACATAAAACCATACATATTTTAACTTATGTAAGATGTTTCTTCAGGCAAACATGAGAGAACAGGAACTTTTCCTATTCGTATTTTCAGGCAGCAGTTCTGTAAAACATAGGACTGCCTAAAAGTGAACACAGAAGCTGATTTCATAAATATTTTCAGATCTGATTTAGAGATTGAAATTAAGAACAAAGTACTGCAGTATGTAACTAGAGATTTAAGAATTACTGATACCTTTTGTTTTCAAAGTGCAGTATTTAGTTTTTCTTTACTTCTTTGTATTTACCTGCAAAGAAGCAAACTCACATTTTCCCTGAAACAATTGACCACTGAGCCCTAAGACTGTATGTAAAATGGTAAAGGGAACTAAACCTCTTTATTCTTGTGTAACTCATTAGCTAACATCAGATGCTCAGAGGTAATGTTTCCATCTAAAACAATTCAAGTGCCTCATTAATGGGGATAGATTTCCTTTGATCTAATTACTTCTTGTCCCAGATCTATGGGAAATTCAGAGATCAGCGCTGAGAAATCTCTGCAGACCTGGCCACATCCAGAAACATGAATTTACATGTAGACTTCAGAAATGTCGTTTAAAATGATAATGAGCCTTGTTGGGTCATTGCCCTTTTAAAGTGTTCTCCATGTTTTCTGCTTTAGAGGCAGAGGACACCATCATGGAGATTTCATCAAAAGAAAATACTCACTTTTTCTCAAACAACACAGTCTTGCTCGTGGATCGATCTTCATTCAAATCCGAATCATCCTCATCCAAGGAAAAACAGTCGTGTTGTGGAGGTATAAAGGTAGAGTAAGAGCTTTTGAATATTCCAGTAGGGACTTAGAAAATTCTTCTTTTTATTTTTTATTATTTTTTTAATGAATGATCCTTTTTTAAGTTCTGATTATGTCATGATGAGTCAGTATGAAATTATTAGATACATTTCTAAGTCACAATAAAATCCTCTTGAGATCTGTATTTGCCTAATGTTTGGCAGTCATCAAATATAATTTGTTGGCTGAGGCTTGCATGCTGTAAGATCTTCAAGACCCATCCTAAAAAGTCCCTCTGTCTTCTTTATTGCTCCACCTGAAATTGAGAACAGAGCACTTGCAGACAGGTCCCACAGGCAGCAGTCAGTACAGATTGTTTTTTTAAGAGAATAGCCATGGTAGTCTGCTGGGCTCTCCAAAGTAATATTGTGATTGTGTGGAGGTCTGTGTGTTGCTCAGTGCTTTGTTATTAAAGCATTATTGCAATGCTCCTCATTCAGAAGAGGTGACTTTGAAATGAAATTGCAGAGGTATTAGCACTGTATCTACACCTCTCTCACCCCCAATAAGTTTTTCCTGGAGTTGATGGGAGGTTCTGCTTTGAGCCTCAGGATGTGGCTGTGGCTGCCTGGTGGGAGCTGCACCTCGGAGGAGCAGTGCTCCCTGCTCGGGACACAGGGAGCACTGCCTGCTGCCTCTGCCTCATTTCCAGCATGCTGACAGCCTCTTGGGTGAGGTCTCAGAATCACCATGCAATGCTGAGAGGATTTGAGTTACAAGGAAAATTAGTTTCCGGCCTTGCCTCGTACTTTTCATGGTGCAGTCTTTATTTCTGTTATTTTGTGCCCTCACTCAAACACACATCTACTTTCAGGTATTAATCCAGCTCCCTGTACAGCCAGTGAAATGAGCAATACTTGTCCTGAAGTCTATAAAAAAAAAAAATTCATTTTTTTTTAATGGAAGATGAGTTGTATTAAATCTATTTTGTACTATAATAGAATTCTAGCATTACTTCTCCATTTGCTACAATGATAATCCAATCCCCTCAGTGAATAAAACTTCAGTCACAGATTAGCCAGTCAGGAATCAGTTTATTGGCCCCAGAAATTGAAAAGCAGTATTATTTCATCTCAGTTCCTTTATCTTTATAGTTGTGTCTTCTGGGAACCCAAACTGATATAACTAATGTATTCCTGTAGGGGCTTAGAAAACCTCTCTCTTCTTTTGGTGAACTAATCCTTTTTGAGTTCTGATTAGGTTTTGCTAATGAAATTATTAAAGATATCTCTAAGTCATGAAGAAGTCTACTTCAGGTTTTGCCTAATGTGTTAAGAAAACAATATGCAGATAGAACAGGTTATTTTTACCAATTATCAACCTTCCTATGTCTTAAAATTGCCCTCATTAACCAGAAAGATGTGGTGAAATATCTGTTTACAAGCACTGTCAAACCAGAGAAGAATGTGAAATCATGTGTACCTTTCTGTCCCAGCCCTAAATCAGCAATGTCTTTCCATCACTTCACACCTGGGACAGTTGCAAACCCAGTAAAAAAATTGTGCCAAAGACATGCAGAAGCATTTCAAGTTGTAGTTTACCTATAAAATTTTCCTGTAAAAAAAAAAAAAAAAAAAAAAAAAGTGCCCTCACAGTGCTATTTAAAATCCAAGGGAATAAACATACAGGAAATGTAAAATATTATGACAATATTAGTACTGGAGAGTCCTTTTGAGATGCTGCTGTGGGGAAAACAAAAAGACCCAGAGAGGGGTTGTACATGTTTATTTACCCACAATTGTTTCTGAAGGAGGGATAACCAGCCCTGGATAAAGTGACACAGAGATGTATTTGAACCTTAACACCAGAATTTGCATTCAGCACTGATGTTACTGCCACTGTGCCTTGTCAAATGAGGAGATTTGCACTGGAGGTGAGTACATTGCTCAGAGCACCTCCTTACTGGGAGTGAGATTCTCAGAGAGGACTGAGGAGCAGCACAAGGTTCTAGACTCCTATTCAAATAAAACCTCAACGTGTCTCTTAACTTCTGGGACCGGGTTTTACAGAAGGCATCAGTTTTTTTTATTCATTTTGAGTCAGCACCACCTGTATATGAAGGTAGAAAGCAAAATTGTGGTTTTCATGACCAATTGCACTGTGTGGAGTATCTGTAGCACATAAACTCCACTGGGCTGCATTCAGTGAGGGCAAATTTTGGCAACAGATCTGCAGGAACTGAGCTCCCTCTGAAGGACCCTGCACTCCCATCACATGCACTTTGAACCAGCCCTCATCTTCCAGATTAATTCTGTGGGAAAAGGGGCTCATTCTGTACCTTTCAAGTACATACCAAAGCACTGTGAAGGGAGGTGAAGTTTAATTTCCAAAGCTCACTCCTGATTCAGAAGAAATTGCTAAAACAGGTGCGGTGATAGCTAAGAGAAAACTGTCTCTGCAAAACAAAAGGAGGGGAGAAGGTGCAAAATGCATGGTGCACTCTGAGGAAAATGTATGTATTAGAGACTGCAGGGGATCTTGTAGAGAGTTGTCTGGCAGGTCAGTGTTAATCTCACAGAAATGTAACTAATATATTTTAAAATGTTCAAAAACTCACCTCCCCACCCAGACACACTTAGCATTTACCCATATGGTTTGTGTGTAAGATACTCCCTCCTGGGAAAATCACAGGTTTCTGTCTTTCAACAGAGCAGTAGCTTTGGCATCTACCTGAAATTAGCAATGGTTGAGAGTCAATTCAGTTTTTATCCATACTGCTCGTAAGAGATGAACAAATCAGTAATCTAGCATTTAATAAAAAGTAGGACAAATATTGATTTGGCTATTTGGCAAAAGAAGAGGTGGGAATGCAGAACCTGATTAAAAATAATTCATATATCTTCTGTACTGCCTGATTTTAATCACTGTCTTCTTTTTCACAGATATTTCTTGGTGCATTGTCTTTTGTTTATTTTGCTAAAGCACTGTCAGGAAGTTATCTAAAAAGTACTATCACTCAAATAGAAAGAAGATTTGACATCCCTTCCTCTTTGGTTGGTGTTATTGATGGAAGTTTTGAAATTGGTATGTGCTATAGAAACACATTTTATTTTCAGGGAAAAAAGAGTGATGCAGTTTGTTCTGAAGAATGATTGCATGAATCTCCCTGAAACTTAAAACTGAGCAAGATTCGCCTAGTAAAAATAAGTGGGACTATCAGTATGATTATGTTCAATAGGCTAAGGTTGCTAATACAGGCAATTCAGAATAGACATTAAAAAAATTGTAATTTGATAAGCAAAGCATGTGGCTGATTCATACTAATAGACATTTCCAGTGTGGAATGAGAATTTGCCTGCATGGATTTCTGCAGGCAGAAATCCACCTCCCCCACAAGTGTTTGCCCTTTGTGATCTATTAAGCAGCAGGAGGACAAACCTCTCACTGTAATCCACATTTCCTGTCCTGTCCCTCTCCTTCCCCTTCACACTAAGGTTTCCAGCATGTCATTGCCTCTTACAATTTCAGATCACTGAATTTATCTCATGGGTGTTCAGTGGACTGTGGTACTCACAGGAATGAAATCTAAGCCTAAGTGTGTAAAACTCAGCTTGATTCCTCCTTTTTTTTCTTTCTTTCTTTTCTGGTTATTTGCTCTCTTCAGCTGGCACAGGCTTTCTCCTCTTTTCCAGCTGTTTATCCAAAGGTTCATGGTTTCCCTGTCACAGAAGGCATTGGGCTCCTGTGGAATGCCTGGAAAGGAGGAGAAAGTCCATCCCCATCAGCCCTGTCTCCCTGAAATCAGTGCCTGTACTGTATCTTGTGAATTGTTATTTTAGGGGATCTCTTATCAACAAGCAGTAAAACTCAGTTTTCCTTTTGCACTCTCAAAGGGAACCTCCTAATCATAATTCTAGTGAGCTACTTTGGAGCAAAGCTTCACAGGCCAAGAATAATTGGAGCAGGCTGCTTAATTATGTCAGCTGGAACATTCCTAATTGCAATGCCCCAGTTCTTCATGGGAAGGTAAGTGCAAAGTTATCCCTGTTTTCCAGCTGGGCTGTGCACACTGAATGGCAGCTCCCTACAACAGTTAGGCATTGATTATGATGATAGAAATAGGCATATGGGGATGTGGTTAGTTAATTTTTTTTTTTTTTTTTGTGAAAAGATTTATTACTGTAGAGCAAATAATTTAACGTGTATATCTTTTCAGTTGTAATCAGCTTTTTTCTTATTAGTCTCCAATCTTGATTGGCCACACCTGGATGTGGTTTAGGAATTGTTGAAGTGTCAGTATAGGAGTGATGACTAAACTCAGGAAAACACTCTCAGTATGAGCCAGAGGATACACCAGTGTCTGATAATCTCTTAGTCTAAATTCATGTATCATAGTAGAGCAAAGTGCCTGTTAAACTGAAATTAATCACTGACCCAAAAAGAACCAATGGGACAATTTTCATGTACAGCTGCAGTACAAATAGAGCTCTGTTTATCCCCTGTAAACTACCACTGGCAATGGATTCAGATGGATGCAGACGAAAATTGCATTTAACTGCTTTAGGTCTGTCTGATAGTTACAGATCTGATTGCATTTCTCATCAGTACTTATGAAGAAATACAACTTTGTTTTCCAAACAGATACAGTTATGAAAGATTCCCTTCCACCATCAATTCCACTGTCAGCCTCTCTCCATGTCTGCAGGATAAAGGCCAAACTCCACTCTCAGCCTTGGAGAAATCTCAAGCGAAAATAAATGCAGGTGAGAATTATCTCTGTTAAATCTTGGGGTTCATAGTGCTTGCTGTCATTAATGTTTCCCAAATCTTTCTGTCAGGAGATCTCAGTTTTGATTAGAAGGAAGTGAAAGAGTTTTCTAAAAAGGGATGTGGTGGCAAATGTATAAACCCAGCAAAATTGAAATATCTTTGAAGCAGCTCATGCTAAAAATTTGTCTACCTTAACCTGTTTCACACTTTTCCTACTGTTTCCCCCACAAGAGAAGTATTTTAGAAGCCCTGAGCTTTCAGTGTCAAACTGCTACTGCAAACATATTGTTACTGTCTCTTGTTAATGCACACAGGGTGTGAAAAAGAAGCAGGCTCTTCCATGTGGATTTATGTTTTACTTGGAAACCTTCTGCGTGGAATAGGTGAAACCCCTATCCAGCCCCTGGGAATTGCATACATCGATGATTATGCTGTCAAAGAGAATGCTGCCTTATATATTGGTAAAATAAATATAATTTATTTTTCCTAATGGATTTCTCCCCAGAGGAAACTGAGTCATTCTGAGTAATGGAATGAATATTATTGAATGAACTTGCCCTGATTGTTTTGTTTGCATAATTTCCAATATTAAAGTTTATTTAACAGTCATGTATACTCAAGGGACCAAGTTCCCATTTAATTATACCAGCACAGTTCCATTATCTTAATTTGGTGAAAGAATTTGGTCTTGGGTTCCTGCTGTTACCCTAATCTTCCTAATTCTTCTGGATGGGGACTGCTGAGCCTCTGTGCACATTCAGTTATCTGGAAATTGATAAAAACAGGCACTCTTTTAAGCACTTAAAATAGAATTTTAGTGGGCACTCCAAATATTCCCTCCAGATTCATGAAGGATTATAAACAATAGTACTGAAACTTTAGGAAGTTGGGATCATTGTTTTCTTGTGTTCATTGTCCGATGGCTCCACATTAAACTGAAATATTACCAAAAAGACCTATCTCATCAGCACCTGCTCTTGACAAGTTTCCAGCCAGGCAAAAACTCAGATTCTCTCTGTAAAAGATTCAATCTTCCCAGATTTCCAAGTGATTTTTTCAAATTCAAAATATTCAGGAAGTTTGGCTGAGGGTATATTGAAACATATTAACAGTGGAAACCAAAGCAAAGTGATTCCTCAGCCTGTTCAGGGTCTGCCTCGACTAAAAGTGATGAGTTAACTTTAAAACAATTTCATTTGCTCCCCAGTTACTTTAATCTTGTCAGCTAAAGCATTTCTAGCAATTGTAGATTGATGCTGTTATTGAGTTCAGGCCATTCAGCTTGCTGACATTTTTACCTCCAGGCTGAATGTAACTCTTTAACTGGATAACAATAAAAAGTGTCATCGTAGTGGGGAACATTTTATTGATGACTTTTTTTCTTGAAAGTATTCCAGTTTGTGTAACTGTATCTCTTGCTGCCCATCACATGCCATAATCTGCTGTTAGATGCAGAAGATCAAGTGCCCTTTTTGGCTCAGGAATGTAACAATCCCCTGTTTTCTATTCCAGGCTGTGTGCAGACAGTGGCAATTATAGGGCCAATATTTGGCTTTCTCCTGGGATCCCTGTGTGCCAAACTTTACGTTGACATTGGCTTTGTAGATTTGGGTAAGTCAGAACATTTGAGTTTTAAATACCCAGTCAGGCTCCAAAATGCCTATTTTAGGCCAAGAACACTCGGGTTATTTTCTAGGCATGAGGGGCTAGCAGGGGTAGAGTGGGCACTCCATGAAATGAAAAGAATGACAGAAGTGTAGTGGTCCATGCAGAATAGGCTGGCAAGAAGGATGGGTGTAGAGGAGGAAGGAGGTCTGACTCTTCCTCAGCCCCAGCAGGTCTGCAACAGGTGCCTCCAAGAGATGCTTTAGTAAGGAGGCTCTGGGGAGATCATGGGAGCCAGGAGGAAACAGGGCTGAGGCTGCATATGCTTTTTTAATACTCTGTTGTTGCCTAGAAATGTGGTTTGGCGGGGGTACCAAGTCTCCAGATTGCCCTTCTTCTGAGAAAACAGGAAGAAAAAAAAAAAACAAAACAGGAGGAAAGTAGGTTTTTTCCTGGAGTTTTTGTGCAGAACAGCCTTGCTGGGAGCAAGTGAGTGGCCACCTGGACTGCCCCAGGTGCTGGTGCTTTGCAGCATTTCTGGGGATGTGCAAGTGGCACAGCAGCGTCAGGGCTTGGCTGCTGCTGTGCCCCAGCAATCAGTGAGTCCTCAGCATGTCTCCACAGCTGCTCCTGTAAAACACCCACAGTGACACAGAAAACAGCTACACCTGGCAGGGCTGGGGATGGAAAGCCCCTGCAAAACCACTTTCCTTATTAGCAGCACATGTCTGTGGCAAGCACATTTCTCTCCCTCTCAGGATTTTCATAGAGGTGCACAGAGAGAAATGAAAGAGAAAACAATTTCTATTTCTGTTCCTTGTTTTTCCTATGTGGAATGTGTTAGGAGAATTGTTTACCTGGGGTGATTACTTGATTGGATTCTGGTGAGGATTGTTTGAGCCTGATGGCCAATCCAACCCACCTGGGGCTGGACTCGAGAGAGAGGGTCACAAGTTGTGGGAGAGTGAGAGAAAGTAGTAGGTAGTATAGTATATTAATGTATTTTAGCATAGTTATAATAAAGAAATAATTCAGCCTTCTGAATTGAGTCAGCCATCATCATTTCTTCCCATTGGGTTCACCTGCATTTACAACACACATCCTCCAGATTTATTAATTCGCTGCTTCTTTTCCACTCTCTGCAGACAGCGTTGCACTCAGTCCCAAGGACGTGCGGTGGGTGGGGGCGTGGTGGCTGGGCTACCTGATAGCTGGAGTGATCAGCGTCCTGGCTGGCATCCCCTTCTGGTTCCTGCCCAAACACCTCACCCAGCCAGAGAGCAGGAAGGACTCCAGCACCTCTTCTGAGCACTCCAAGTTCATCATCGAGGAGAACAAGGACCAGGGCGCATCCTCTTGGCAGCAAGCGAAGCTTGCAGAGATGGCAAAAGGCAAATCACTTGAGTTTTCTTCCTGATTGTTGAGTTTTTCTCTCAAAGGCTTTTAGACTTAAAATTTTTATACTTTTAGTCCCTATTTTAGACTTAAAATATGTATACTTTGAGTCTGAGAATTATGGTTTTTCCCTTTCGTTCTCCAACTCCATAGTACACACAAAAAGGTCTCTTCAATGTTCCCTGGAGTTGCCATGGCATGAGAAACAGCTGAGATTTGTAAAATTACAATAGTGACCCAGCACGTATCATGAAGGTCTGCAAAATTTTTTTTTAATTCACATGTAGTGACTGTTGCAGAAGCTGTGCTTAAAAAAAAAACCCAACCCTTGGTTTTTATTAATTATTTTTTCCTGTAAGTTCTTGCATTAGGAAAACATGTCCAATATCTGATCAGAATATAGATGGGCACAGAGCAGCTACAGTATTAGAGGAGGCTGTCTGGATTTAGACAGGAGCTGATTTGAACGATTGCATTTCCTTGGCCATGCTTTGCTAAAAGCAATTTCCCTCAGAACTTGAACCTGCACCTCAATATGCCTGTGCTTACTGTCAGCTGTGCTGAGCACTCTTTGCCCCAAATTAAGCTAAACAGTGCTGTGGCTGTTGAGAACACTTAGAAACCAAATCATTCCTAGTTTATGATGGAAAGAAGGTATTTAAAGCAAGATATCTCTTCTGAGGAATTGATGCTTAGTGTTTTGCTCCACTGTTACTCCATCCAGAAATAGGGGAGTTCTGTTAGGAGCATCAGGGAACTCCACAGATTCCCTCTGAAATGTTTTGCAGTTTGGGGTTTTTTGGAAGGTGCACACATGTTACAAAGCATTACTCACAGCAGTTATCTCTCTGGCCTGCTTGTTATTTCTGCTGTTTTGTCTTGCAGACTTCTTGCCATCACTGAAGAACCTCTTTGGGAATCCAGTTTACATTTTGTATTTGTGTGCAAGTATTATTCAGTTCAATTCTTTAATTGGCATGGTGACATATAAGCCAAAGTATATTGAACAACAGTATGGGCAGACATCTTCAAAAACTAACTTTGTTATAGGTAATGCTATATATGCTTCTTGATATCTTTAAAATGGACATTTTAGGAGTGGCACATACATATAGGAAAAATTGTATTTTTTTAGGGTATGTTCATTTCTTCTCCTTACTTGCCTGACTTTTAAGTTATAGCTCATAGAAGGTAAGTTATTTCATTTCTGCTTCAGAACTATTTAACTCTGAGTTTATCTATGCAAGAGTTACTGTAAAAGTTTACATTATTTGATATCCTAATTCTCATTTAACTGAAAATTTGAAAAGTAATGTATGTGCAATGCAAGAAAAAAGCTGAGAAATAATTTTAAAAGAGTTTACATAAATTTATCATCAGACAGATCTGCTGCCTTGGTGGCTTCCCGTGAATTTCAACAAAAGGAAGATCAGTTCAGTGAGTGCTGCGGGTGACCCTCCAAAGAGATTGGTGTTAAATAAAAGGAGGGCAAGTCATATCCCAGGCTGAACTTACAGCACAGGAGAGAGAAGCTGCTTCAGCCTTTGGGTACAGAGAGCAACATTTTTGTAGCTGACTTCATAAGGGTGGATTGACTGCCCAGTGGCTGAACCTGCATGTGGGGTTCAGCTCCAGAGGTGCAGGGCTTCAATAGCATTAAGCAGCAAAGAGGGTTACATCTTCCCAACCCAGAGGGAGCTGCCTTGTTCCAGAGCAGCATTAGTTGCACAGCAACAGAGGTATGTATGTGCAGGAAAGCTGTAATGATCCATTGTGCTATGTTAATTCCGTTCAACATGAAGCTGGAATTTCCTGGCACCAAACTCCTCAAAGCAAGGAGAAATCTTCAAGTACAGTTGATGGCCAAAAAAGTCCAGAAAACAATTCCTACATTCAGTGTAGTACTTCTCATTTTATTTAAAGATTTTCTGGAGCTAAGCTTTCAGGTATGTGCAAACTGAGTGAGGATTAAGAACGATTTGATTTCTCTGAGCACAGGGACTATATCCAACAGAGAGTGTGTCATGGCTTGGTTAGGGAAGGATCCTGTGAGTGGCTGTCCTTGCAATAAGGTGCTTTTTCTTCCTCCTTTCCCTTTCTCTCCAAATCCACCCTTCCTAAGAAACCTGAGGGCTGACTCAAACTCACAGTGTTTTTCTCTTTCACAACCTCTTTTACGCTTCTTTTTTTATGAAAAACAGTTTCTATCACAATCTCTGATAGATATCAAAATTGTCAGAGCAATTGAAGCACTAAAAAAAAAATTTAAAAGTCAGGTCTTGCTCTGGCTTTTATAACATTTGATAAAACTAAATTTGTCCTCTAGGAATCAACAGGTGACTCCACTGACAAACTAATTGTGGGAAAAAACACCTAGCTTAAGAAATTGGAAGAGCATTTTCTAAATTTTATCTATAATCTCTCTGTCAAAGAACCAGCAAAGAAGCATGTCCTTGGGAGTAAATTTTTCACAGCTGTCCCAGCACCTTTGTAACACTCCAAGGATCAGTCTAAATCTGGTCAAAATAATATGCCCTGACTGAAGATCTTTTATGTTTTGTTCCTTCATCTGATTGCTGCAGCTGGTTTTTGTGGCTGACAAGGTTAGCCCATTGAGCTGGGGTTTTCATTAATATAGAATATTTTCTTTGCTTTCAGGTCTTATTAACATTCCTGCTGTGGCCTTTGGCATATTCTCAGGAGGTCTGATCATGAAAAGGTTCGGAGTCGGTGTTTTAGGGGCTGCAAAGCTTTCCTTGGGATCATCTTTCCTTGGTTACCTTTTGCTGCTGTCGTTGTTTGCGATGGGCTGCGAGAACGTGGAGGTGGCCGGACTTACTGTGTCCTACCATGGGTACGCTGGCAAGGTCATGCTTCAGCAGAAAGGGCCACTGCAAACCAAACTCCTTCCTCATTTTGTTTCACAAAATATATGTTGTTGAAAAGAGAGTGACTGACCTGAATGTTCTTCCCAGAAATTTGATTCAAATCAGTGGAAACTACTCCATTCAAGTGTGTGTTGTGTCATGACCCTCTCATGATTACAGCATAAACCAGTGGGGCTTATGTCACAAGTGCAGATTATTTGTCTGGTTACTTTTTAAATATTATTGCCATCCTTTGAGACCAGTGATTCCTGAAAATGTGAGTAGCTCACCGGGGGGGAGAGATTTGATTAATTGTTTCTTGCCTTTGTGTGCCACTGAACAATGACTGGCATTTAATAGCCTTTGAACTAAAAACTTAAGGGTTAATAGATTAATTAAGAGATACACCTGAGGCTTTTTACCCATGCTATTACTCTGTAAAACTAACTTTTTGGGAGGAGTTTCCAGCATTGATTCACAGAAGCTCTGGTAGATGCTCCACTGGTGTCTGATGACTGAATTTGGCAGAGATCTGACGTGCAAGGCAACAGACACTCAGTTTGGATTAATCCTATTCTGATAAATTCCTTGCTAACTTCTACAGAGACAATTTCCCATGAGTAACTCACTCCCTTCTGTGCCACTTGCCTAGTTGTGTTAAAGCTGCATAATTAAAATGTTAGAAAATCTGAGAAAATGCGTGACTATAAATTGGTAGTTGTCCTCCTTAATAAAGTAAATGCTATCTCACAGTAGGTGGTGTGATAGTGTGAAAACCTTTGGATAACAGAGAAATGAGGATTTACATTTCTGTGGATGTGAAGAGACAGCCTTTAAGGCACTACAGAGGGAAGGTGGCCAGGTGCTCCTGGCAGAGAGCGTAGCCCCGGAGCTGATCGTGGTTCCCTCCCCATCTGCTGGGCAGCACCTTTGCAGCTTCTCTTTTTTCCACAGAGCCAAACCAGTGAGTGATCACGAGCAAGCCCTGTTTTCAGAGTGCAACTCGGGTTGCTCCTGTTCCAGGAACGACTGGGACCCCATCTGTGGGGAGAATGGAGTTACCTACGTGTCCGCCTGCCTCGCTGGCTGCCAGGCATCCAATGGCACTGGGAAAAACACCGTAAGATAATCCTTCATTTCTGCGTGAGGTGGGATCTTTCTGATACAAGGCACTGGGATAAACACCAGTAAGACAATCCTTAATTTCCATGTGTGTGGGAAGCCAGGGCTTCCCTCTGGCTGCTCTGGCAGGTCTGGGACCCTGTAAGATTGAAAACTCTTTTCCATGGACGGAGCCCCCAGAGACACTGTCTCTGATCTCTGTCCATGGAAAAGAGTTTTCAATCTTACAGGATGAACTACAAGCTCTGAGTGTTTGATATAAAGGATAATTAAGTGTGGCACGGGTGCAAAGTAAAATTTTAGGATTCTGGATTAGGGGTCCAAAGGGGACAAGATGGAGGAAATTGGGTGTGTCTCATCCTTTTTCTCCTTCTTCATGCCCTCCATGTTTCACTGTAGTGTTGGCATTTTTCTGTTGGTTTAGGCTGGGGACATACTGTTCAATGTAGGTGACAGATATTGGCATGTTATTGTAAATCCAGCCCAGGGAGTTTCTGGTATTTAATGTTTGTACCATCCCACTGAGGGCAGAGCCCCACACACTGCCCTGCAGGACAGAGCTGGGCAGGGCAGCAGAACATGTTAGAGATCAACAGAATAAACAACCTTGGAACCAGCACAGACCAATTATGGCTTCTGCTTTGGCAGCGGGGCTCAGAGACAGAAACTTTTACAATCTCAGAATCATCAATATACCTCAGATTCCAACAGACATGAGGTGGGATCTTTCTGATTTGACCAGATCTGGCAGAGTAAGTGGGTTTAAACTGGGCACGGCACATCCTCCTCAGCCTTGAACTCCTCAGGGTTGTTAGCAATCTGGCACCCACATTTAAAATTTTTTCACTTGTTCTTACCAGCAGAAATCACAAGCAGAGAATTTTGGAGGGTTTTTTAAATTATTTTTTGAGCTGTTGGCTACCATTTGGAAAAAAACCTAATAACTAGATATCAACAGTAGATACCTTCTAATTTTCTCCTTCATTCTATAAGTCTTTTCCTTTCATAAAATATTTCCCACTTTGGACTTAAACTTTCAGCCATCCAGAATGTGCAGTTCCTAAACATCCACTTCTCCACCATTTAGGTTTTCATCCACTTTTGCTTGCTCTCTTCCAGGTATTTTTTAACTGCAGCTGCGTGGGAACCTCTGAATCTCCACAAAGCTCCTCGGCTGTGGTGGGATCATGTCAAAAAGGAAATGAGTGTCCCAAAATGTTTCTGTATTTTCTAGTAATATCAGTTATCACCTCATACACTTTGTCTGTAGGTGGCACACCTGGATACATACTACTTCTAAGGTAAGAAAGAATTCCTGCTAGTATTGCCAATTTTTTTCGAAGTGTTTTGACACATGACTGGTGCTCCCTTCCCTCCTGGTATTCCTAGTAGTGGGAAATGTTTTGCAGCTATGCAAGGTGACATGTTCCATATAATTGGTCTCTCCCAGATTTTTCTCCTTGTTTTAACAATTTTTTTAGCATGAGATTTTTTTTTTCCTATTGTCATAAGCACAGATTTATTGAATGCTTGTCCCAGTGCATATTTAACTGCTGGAACTATTTGTCCATCACTGTAAGCTTTGAAGCTAATTTTAGCAAGTGCAAAAGCATTTAATACTACAAGTGCTTAATCTGGATTTTTGTCAGCTACTTGCAATTTTTGGATTCCAAGTCCTGCTCTGTTCTGTTTTGGAAATCTTTCTTTCTCAGTTCCTTTTTCCAAATTATTTCCAGATGGGCACATTCTATTTCTCAAACAAAACAAGAGCAAATCCAGTCTAACTAATCTTTAGTATTATAGCTGTTTTTTCTTGCTCCCAAATTCTCTTTGGTTTTGAATTCAATTTTTTGGACCAGGCCCTGTCTCATTGCTGGTATCTTTAAACCACATGGACAATGCCTGTGTTAGAGCTGGCCAAACATAGGCTATATGGAAAAACCTAAATAAGGAAATGTGACTTCAGCTACGGTTCCATCACAGTCCTTGAATCAGAATAAATATTCACATAGAGACTTTTAGAAATGGCTGTGGTGAGGATCCTTCTCCAGTGCCCTGCATGAACACTGCCAGTGAGGTGCACACAAGCTGCACAGCTTTCCTCACACACCATGCAGGGTTACCACTGAGTGCTGCAAAACCACACAGCATCTCCCTCTCTTCCCGAGGGCTCACTCCAAGAACAATCACACTGTAATCCATTCTAGACCATTTTACTGAAACTTCTGCACAACTGAGCTGTCCCCTGCGCCAAGATGAGGATGATTCATGAGTGGAGAGCTTGCAGCAAAGCCTTCAGGGTTTCTGCCAGATTGCTCCCTGTGGTTGCTTCTGACACATTGGATAAATATGCTCTATGCAGAGATGCAATTCCCTTCCCTTTCCTTCTACATCAGGTCTCCTCCTATCCATAAGACATGATGGAAAATGTACCAATCTAGTCCCACACAGGGCTCAAAACTGTGGTAGCCATGCTCAACCTCTTGCTTTCTTCTTGTCTCCACTGTGTAAAAAATTTGAGTTCTTTGGGAGATGTTCATAACTGAACATGCACAAGCTTAAATCACACAGAGTTGCCTGCCCTTCTCAGCCATAAGAACTTGCCCTTGGGGGTCTTACTGCTTAATCAATTTAATCAGAAAAGCTTAGAAAGGTTTTCAGTTACAATACTAAACCACTTTGTCATATGAAATCAGAAAAACAGTTTTATTGGATGTACTCCAATGCTTTTATTGTTGTTGAAAATCATTTGACTTTGAGAGGCATTTAAGTGAAACTGAGAAGTTATGTGTTTTTCTGCTGAATTGAAGGCAAGCATGTTTGATGTGCAGCTAAATTAAACGTTACAGTAAGTTCAATCCTTTTTTATTTTTTTTTCTGCACCGCAGATGACGTGTGGGCGCAACTGCACTTTAAGCTCATGCTTACTTTTGTCTTTTTTGAAATCCAACACTGATTGACTTTCTCAAAAAATCTGGCTGGATTGAAAGTGTGCTTCTGTTACCGGAAGGAAAATAAATTTTCCTTGAATCCAAATAGTCCCAAGGTCAAGCTGCAGGCTTCATTATGTATTTCTTTCCAATTATCACTTTTAAAAATTATTCAGTATTCAGTCATCTCTGTTACAATTCCAGCATTTAAGCAAGCTGATGTTTTCAGATGAGCAGATATCATTGCACCTGCCATGGAGGACAAATACAGCCAAATCCCCAAAAGCCTGTAAGATTTAGTGGCATTTACTTTGATGGTTTGGACACTGAAGTCATTGAAAAATGCTTACAGCTGGTGACAAAGTCATTTGTTGAAATGTCATGTTCATGGTATTAGTCTAATTACAGTAGCCAAGGAACTTGGGAAAGCCCTGAAGTTTTTGAGAAAAAAGCCCTGCAGTTCAGATAGCTGTTGTTCAAACACCAGCTATTAATAGCAGGTGATTAGGCAGTGAAAAGGAAGTCTCAGATCTCCCTAAGAGGTCTGGCTATCACTCAGGATCACAAAGGGTTCCTGTTTCCTTGCAAAGACAATACAAATTATAAAACTATTTTTTTTTTAATCTGAAAAAGAATTTTTTTTTCAGGATATAAATTCTGTGAAACACGTATCAAATATCCAGTTATTGGTTTTATTTCCCACTTTTTGCTTTCTATGCCCTAAGATTTGTTCAGGAGGCTCTAGGCTGAGGAGTGCTTGTGTAGCAAGTTTCTAGTAGGGGAGGAAGACACTGTTCTTCCAACTTAAAATCATTTTACAATCATGCCTTCATAGAGGGCAGTGCTTGTATAAGCCACAATCAACAGATGGTGTGATGATAATCCATGGCCAGGGCATTAGAGAATAAAGTGTTGAAAACTACCCTTGGTGAGGAACTGTAGAGTTAGTTCTGAAATGTCTTTATTATTTTTTTTAAACATATTCCAAATACATTAATCTTTGCAGGAGCAGAGGCCACCCTAGTTCAGACCACACAGATTGTACCTCCAGAGTGCTATGTTCATCCACAGTGACAAATTGAATTTCAGCCCATTTCTCTTTTTTTCTGATTTATATTGAATAGAATGACTGTGACAGAAGTTTTATTAATGACCACATTAATATATGTGTTACCCCATGTACCAAAACTATCCTAGTTTGACCATGTGGCTAGTACTGCCCACTTGCCAAAATCAAACATACACCCAGATTTGTGCTGGATTAGGCCTTGTAATAGTCAGTCTGGTACATACTGGAGTAACAGCAGGTTTGAGCAGCTGGTGGGGGAGCAGGTGATTCCTACAAATCCAAGAGCCTCCACGCTCACCCTGCTGACAGCAGGGATGGGAAAGGCAGCTCCAGTTCTCCTGCCCAGCACCTCTGCCTCCCTCAAGGAGCCAGCACGATGATCTAGGGCTGGAGCATGGCTCATCTGGAGCCAGAAGAACTGGATGTCTGTGTGGGACTCACCCTGCAATCTTAGCAGAGTCCAAATGCAGATGGTCTGCTCTGTCAGAGAATAGCCTGGAGGATTTACCTTTACAAGAGGTGTGATCCTGATCTAGAGAGGGTGTAATGAAAAGTGAGTGCCTAAATACCTTGTACTAGCCTGAGACTTGATCCTGAATTTCAGGAAGTGTCTAACTGAATAAAACCATCCAATGGATGCATGATTTCACTAGCAATTTTCTTGTCCTGTGTTAGTAACACCTAAGTGCTGATATCATCTGAAAATCCACAACCATCTTAAAATGTGATGTTGAACATAGATGTTCAGAATTCCTAGATGTCGTTCTGGTTTTATCACCTTTTTTACACATTTCTGCAGTTTGGTAAAAGTCTGTGATATTAATGAGGAAAAGGTCACATTTCTTTTCTTTCTCTTGCTGTCTATTTGTGTTCTAATTGTATGCACCTGATTCTTTATTTCTAACTAACACCTCTTTTATTATTATTACTTTTAGATGCATTAAACCCCACTTGAAATCATTTGCACTTGGTATCTATACCCTGGCAATAAGGGTACTTGGTAAGTCCATTTGTACTCCTGAGCAGGTTTTAATACACTCCTCACTATCCATTTCTCTTAGAGTTAAGCTTTGATTGTTGGAAAGAACAATGTCTATCTGCAAATAGATATCATATGATTAAAAAAAAAAAGTTGGAAAAAGGAGATTGCTTTGTGCTTCATAATTCACATAATTATATCTTAGGTATAATTAAAATACACAAGGCAAATATTTATAGAGATGTGATCCTGTAGACTATGAAGCTAACATCAAAATTATATCTTGTCCCCTTACTCAGCAACAAGCATAATAGAACAGCTGTGGCTGAGAATTTGTGGTTGCTTTTCAGGCATATATTCATTAGTTTCTAAGGGAATTAATGTGACTACAGGTGTGCTGTGTTCACTGCAGCCTTGTGGTAGAGCCACCTGAAATCAAGGGTGACATAAGATGCCAATGAAGTGGAAATTTTAAAATCCTCTAGGTTTTCATGAAAAAAAGGCAAGCCCCCTATTTACATGAGTGAAGTTAGATGAAGTGGATGAAATGACATCAAAGCAAGCTATTGGCTTCTTTCTGACACCATTGCATGCCAGAATTTTCTCTCCAGGCTTACATTCTCCTCCAGCACCCCAGGTGACACAGAGTGCAGAATGTCCCCATCAGCACAAGAAAAAAGGCTTTTCCTTTCCATCAGCCCAAGAACTGCAGTAGGTTTGCCCCTGCCACAGTGGGATCTCAAGATACTTGGAGGATTCCTGCAGCCCCACTGTCTCTGTCCGTTCTCACCCCCACCCACCACACAGGACACCCCTACACCCAAGCTGAACAGGCTCCATTGCTCTCAAGAAAGGAGATACTTCTCCTTTCTATTTTTTTTTTTCTCCCCCAGAGATGTCCTGCAGGGTGAGGAAACCAAACCGTGACCAGCACTCCTTCCAGGGACTTCTACAGGCTTTTTGATGTTTTGTCATGTTTTCCTGGCTTCCCACAGGGAGGAAAGGGTGGTGTGTGCCTGGGCAGCACAAGGCACGTCTTCTCCAGGCAGCATCAGTGTGCAAGTGTCATTGCTGTTGGAATGTATGATTGAATGTTCTGCATGAACCTGCCCCTAGATCAAAACTGATCACCCTGGAAAGTAAATTTCTCACCTCTGTTTATTTGTTAAATACACCCAGCGGGGATCCCAGCACCAGTGTATTTTGGAGTAGCCATAGACACCACTTGCCTGAAATGGGGAAGCAAAAGATGTGGGGGAAGAGGAGCCTGCAGACTCTATGACTCCAGTGCACTCAGGTAACTTCTTTACCTTTTGTTCTTAAAGTACATCTACACCTGGCACAGGCAGAAGAATTTCTGTTAGAAGGTTTGAGTGAAGGATCTGAAACTGAATAAAAAACTCTGACTAACAATATTAACAATAATTCTCACTCTTTTGATTCAATCTCTTTTTGAGGGGGAGGGCTGATTATGTTGTTTCAGTATCAGCTGTAAATAATAGTCAGTTAATAATTCACAGAAAAAAAAAACAACAACTTGTGTTGAAACCTCAATATTATGCTAAATCTTCCCTCAGCTTTCAGTATTTCTGCTGTCATAGTGTATGTCTGCGTGTGTAAATAAGTTATTAAACCTCATTTTTCTCCATGTTGGAGCTGGATCAAAAAATGGAAGGCAAAGGTGCCACAGAACATGCTTGGCTTATCTAGAGGCTTAAGTGCAGAGTTGTCTTTATCAATTTATTGTTAGAGGACAGTAATTGTCTGAACTGCATTTGTGAAAGGCTACTCCAGAAATGAAGAATTGAATAACAGTGGTAAGAGGAAAATGGAAGAACAAGTTGTCCCTTCTCCCACCACAAGGAAAATAAACATGAGAGAAGGGTACAGCCTGTTTCAAAAACTTGAAGGAAGGAGCAAAACCTCAGCTGGGACTCTTTTTGCTAATAAAACATTCTGATGTTTTTGTTGCTGCTGTTGTCGCTGTCATTATGCCTGTAAAGCAAAAATACCATCAAATGGTTTTGATATCACCGGTACTGTTTGTGAGGCAACCAAAAATTAGAGTAATTGCCCTAAAAATATGAGTGCTATTCTTACTGAAGCACATTGGGGTGGAGGTTTGGCAATGCCTGAGATGCCTTCTTGAGCACAGACCACTCTCTACCCGACCTGGGTGATCTGACAAACTCCCCTCCCCAGGGTCATCCCTTGATTGCAGTGTCCTTACCCAGCCTGACCTGATGAAAATAAGAATGTGTCCTTGATGCCTTCTAGTCTTGTGCTGCCTTTGACACAGGCTCTGATCAATCATTTCTCTCTCAGGAATGTGTACCTGGGGCTGACTTTGGTCTTGGGCACGGTGTCCATTTTCTTCAGTGTTGCTGTCCTTTGGGTTCTCCGAAAAAGGTCATCTCCACAAGATGAGACCCTCTCAGCCAACGGGGAGAGAGGCACCCGTGGGACAAAGAGCAGAAAAGATAATTTTTTCAAAAGTGACCAGTTAATTCAGTCAACTTACTGGCCAGAAAAGGAGACCAGACTTTAGGAAAACTGAGATCTCCACCATGATTTTACCCAGTGAGTAGTGTTCCAGGCAAAAGTCCATCATCAGTGAAGCAGTATCTTAGTAGCCACCCTGAAAATGTTCACCTTCTTGCAATTTTCACCCAAAAGCAAAGACCGCCAATTTTTTTAGCACGTGAACAGCTCTAAAAACACTGCTCACCATTTTTTTTCCTGCCGAGGGAGGGGATTTCCTATGGCTGCCATGGGACCAGCCAAGAGGAGCCAGGGCACAAAACCTGACTTGGCAACCTGGAAGGTGGAGGGATCTCCAGCACGGAGTCCATCCTGGCGAGGCACGGGGCAGGAGGAAGGTTTGCTGGGAGGAAAAATCAGCCACAGGCTCTGGGCACCTAATGAATTCAATCCATAACACCTGGGATGTGAAGTGTTGTGGTTAGGAATCTGTTCTCCAGTAGCTTTTGTTCCAGCACAACAATCAGCAATAGAAGTTGTCCTTACAAAGAGGCCACAAGAGTACCATCCAAAGGAAACTGGAATGAAAATAGAGCTTCTTTAGGTTTCCAGCAGCTTCTTGCTACTTGCTAGTACTCAGTGTACTAAATAATTCCATGCACTTTATGATGTAATAAAAAAATTATATGAGACACATATGATTTCTATTTTAAAAAGCTATGAGAAGACAGCTTGGGAAAAATAAAATTTAAATTAATTAAAAAACCAGGTGACTTTGGGCTTTTCCTTTTAATTTCTTGTATTTTCTATCTGAAAATAAGACATTTTTGGTCTTTGTAGATATTGGATATTATTATATTTGGGGTGGGCAATGCAAAGGAGAGCTGTTTAATATGAAGAAAATCTCAAGAAAGCTTGCACTGGAAAAGACAATTGCAGCACCACAGGGATATCCTTTAAAGCAACTAGGATTTTTGAGCACATGATGAAAGGCAGGCTTCATCCTTCACCATGATTTTGGCAAAACAAACCCATGTCACATCATTTGTGTCCCAGCAGTGCCTGTAAGTACCCTGCTGCCTCTCCTGTGGGGTTCACTGGGCTTAATTAATGACCAATGATCAATGTTTGTCCTGTTCCATCAGGGACCTACCTAATCCACTAAATAGCAATACCAAGAAGGGGATGGTGCTTAAGCACCAAAAATCTGCAGAAGTTAAGGCTTTAAACCCATTACTGGAGAAAAGGCATTTGTCAGAGGAAGAACCAATGTCACCCAGATTTGCCACATGGGTGAGTGTGGGTCTCAGTTTCTATCCAGGCAGAAGCCTGGGAAAGAACTGGAGAAGAATGTAAATAATTTTTTATCTCTTTCCCAGGCTTCTGCCTGGATAGAAACTCTCAGTTTCTCTTTTTGACTGAATCTGAGATGCACAGGTGAGTGTTTGACAGTGGCCTGCAATTTGGAGACCCAGCCTCCTGTCCCAGGTCCTTGTCCTCCCAGGTGGCTCTCAGAGGCTATGTCTGTGGCTGTTCCCACTGGGTTCAATATCACTGGATGTTGAACTAAACAAACATAATTAAAATAATCTGAAGGTTTATGAAGGTGGGACTAAGGCAAGAGTTGTGGCTGGGGTGAATCACAAAAATTTGCATTCCCATCTCAGGTCTCATTCGTATTAGAGCATCATAAAAACAGCAAAAAGTGTCAAACTTCACCAGCGCCCAGGAGTGAGAGCCATGCTGGGAGCCTTCCAGAGCCTCCTGTGGAGGGCACTTCCCATAGAAATGAGCTGTCAGATCCCATGAGAGAAAGGAGCAGCCCAGCCTAAGTGCACACAGGGATATAAAAGGAGAGATATCTGCATTTCACTCAGAACTTGATGCTGTGTGTGTCAAAGCAAGGGGGATGATTCCTACTTTGTGAATCAGACCTGGCAAGGACCCTGCTGCTCACCAGCTATGAAGCTGTCACAGTGGCACTTCTGCACGTGCCTGGCAGCAAGAGGGCCAGGAAAATTCACTGATTTCCGCTGGCAGAGAGAAAATTTTCTTCTCAGGAGCTTCTCAGGAGTACTGTGCTTTGGATTCAGTAGGAGAATGATGCCAATAACACAATGATGTTTTAGTTGTTGCTGAATTGTGCTTACCCCAAGTCAAAGACTTTCCAGCTTCTCATACTCTGCCAGTGAGAAGCTGCACAAGAAGCTGGGAGGGAGCATGGCCAGGACAACTGGCCCAAACTAGGCAAAGGGATATTCCCTTCCCTGGAATGCCATTTCCAGTATTTAAACTGGAGGGAATTGGCTAGGAGAAACCAGTGATTGTTAAGGAACAGACTGGATATCAGACAGCAACCAGATCATGCATCAAAAATTTGTCTTTCTCAGATTTTGTTTATCTTTCTTTTTTTCCTTCCTTTTAATTGCAATTATTATTCTATTATTATTCTCTTTTATTTTATTCTAATTATTAAACTGTTCTTAACCCACAGGGTTTACCTTTCTTTTACTTTTTTTTTTTCAGTTCTCCTCCCCACCTCTCTGTGGAAGCAGGGTGAGCAAGCAGCTGCATGCTATTTAATTGTTGGCTGGGGTTAAATCACAACAGGCAAATAAAGAAATTACGATAACGTATCCTACTCTAGTTCAGATATAAACAAGGACATAAAAAATCAGCTTCATGGGTCATCTCCTTTGGTTATATATTTATTATGCCTGTACTTAGTGAATAAATCTTTACAATATAGGCTTTCCTTCCATAACCCATTTTCTTTACACATAGGAATACCAGAAAATAACTTGTTTTAGTAACTCTTATTTGCACTGTATTTTGAAAATATCCATTTTTCTCCTCCCTTCCTTCAGCTATGATAATCCTGTAAGTTAGCAAGCAGATAGAAACCATTCCCACTTTGAAATATTTTTAATTTGCTGTTTTATTTTAGTTCTTTAAGTAGTAACATGGATGCATGGATGAATGTCTGACCACAGATACACATTCTGGACTTGTTATAATACTTCGTAAAAATTATCTCAGCACTATTTGGATCTGTCATCATCTCCCTACCAAAATTCTTCATCTTAAACTAGATCTGCAACAGGTGCTGTTTCACCAAGGTCAACAAACCTGGATCTTTGATTTTCTTTTTAGAGTTAGAGATCCTAAACCACAGCCAAGTGACTGCAAAGAAGCAAATGCCTTTCACTTTCAAAGGTGAGACTGTTGAAAGAATGAGCTGAGGTGATTTCCCAACATTTGCTGTCAGCCTTAGAGGCCAGAGTGGGACTCCTCCCCTTGTTAAAAAGTACTGTGTGCCATGTAAAGGTAGGATATTATAGCAAGGTCCCCAGCTATCACATAATAAAATCCCATGAGCCAAAGGCACATATCCTCTCCTACCTCGCAGCAAAAAATGCAACTGAGGGAACAATGCATTTTATATAGCTATATATAAAATATAGCTAATATAGCTATATATTAGCTATAGCTAATATAATAATATATAAATATATAAAATATAGCTATTCTAGAGCTCATGCCATCCCAGCATCAGAGGGAATTACTGAAAAAACAGTGAGCAAGGAGTGTGGCTCTCTCACAAAGAGTAAACAGGTTGAATAATTATAGATTGCCTCCTAGAAATGCTCAAAATAATGAGGAAGATTGCTGTATGAAAGCACTACTGCAATATTTTGAAATAACAGCACAATTGGTATAATCTGAGAGAAAACACTGACAGCACAGCTTTGGCTGGTTTGACTGATGATGACACAACATGCAGCTTAATTCTGCAAAACATTACAAGTTACTAAAAAGTCTAGAAGCTATGAAGTGCATAGGCTTGCAAGCAGCTAGGTTGCAGGGGTATTTTAAAAGCAATTGCACATAGATAAACATTATTAATAATTATTAATAATCTAGCCCAAAGGCTGTTGCCTAGAGGGATCATAGATCTGACCAACCAGTCTGGTTGTCTTTTTTTGTGCCCTGGAGCATCACTAAGCAGGTGCTGCATGAGGCAGCTCCTCATCCAGTGCTAATCAACCTCTAGAAGGCAAAAAGTCCATAATTGCTGTAAAAATGATGAGAGGCAATTTAAATGTGAGGCTCTTTAATGATGATTTAAAGTGCTCATTAAAAGGGCCTTACTTAAGCAACATGTGGCTAATATCAGGAGGTTAGTTAACCAACAGTTCATCCCAGATTAGTGCAGTTCATTGAATTTTGAAGAGAGTAAATAAGGAAAGGATTTAGTGGAGAGCACATGGAGCACATTCTCACAGCTGGATGGTGACCAGGCCAGGAATCTCTCTCTCATGGCTGTTGAGCATGGTGAGTTTGAAAGGTTGTTGTACACAACCAGAGCCCTCTTGTTGATCCTGTGATGTTGGCACTTCTCAAATAAGATGTGGGAAAACACAAACTTGTTCAAGTAAAAAACCAACCTGTGATAAGATTATACAGTCAGCAAAAAATCTGTTTATTTAACTGTACAGACAAACTGTTTTCCAGTGTCTGGAAATCAAGCAGGATAAAACTATAATAGAATTTGTTTTTCTTTTTCACTAGAATAGTCTTTGGGATGTTCCTGACATCTGATAGATTTTTCTGTCAGGAAAAAAAATCAACTTACCCATTCTTATAAAAGATCTGCCCTAGTGTAACAAGACAGATGAACATTTTATTGAAGTGGTTTTGTATAGAACACCAGGTATTTAATGACATGAGCCATATTAATTTTTTCAGTCCTGTTAGCTCAGTTGATATCCCAGACCATATAAAGGTGTTGGGGGGCTTGCCCTGGGGGTTCACTTGAAGTTAGCATGGTTTTTGTTTCTGCTGTGATGCAGCTCACATTTGGATGGGCTACTAAAAAGGTCTAAGCACTCTCACCTGCCAATGATTTACTATGTCTGTAGTAACAACTCCAATCCAAGCTGCTGGTTAGGACTGAATGAAAGAGAAACTGTACAACCAGCATTAATATCTACCCTTTGTCTTTTAAATTGAACAAAAAAAAAGAAAAAACAATAATTAAAACAGCACATCATAGTCTACTTTACCCCAGACAGATGCACAATGCAAATCAATGAGAAAATTATCAAGTTCTTTTGAAAGGCAAATGATCCACTGCGC